TCGCGCGGGGCTTGCGGGCCCGCGGCGCCGCGGCGGCCGCGTCGGCCGCGCCGTTCGACGTCGCGGCCTCGTTCGCGCGGCGCTTGCCGACGGTGGAGTTGCGCGGGTCGTCGAGCATGGGCGCCGGGTCGCCGTTCTGGGGCGGCACGTCGGCGATGCTCAGGTGCGCGCCCGCGAGCGTGCCGACGGGCGGCGGCATCGCCGCGTACGCGCCCGCCGACGGCGGCGCGGCGGGCGCGCTCGCGGCGCTGTCGATGGTCGCGCCCGAGAGCATGGGCATGGGCGCCGCCGGCGCCTCGGAGGCGGGCTCCTCGTCGGCCGGCGGCGGCGGCGGCGGCGGCGGCGGCGCGGGCTCCGCGGCCGGCTCGGGCTCGGCCGCGGGCTCGGGCGGTGGCGGCGGCGCGTCCGGCGGCGGCGGCGGCGCCTCGGCGGGCGCCGCGGCCTTGGGCTTGCGCCCGCGGCCCTTGGCCTTGGCCTTGGGCGCGGCCGCGGGCACCGCGGCGCCCTCGGGCGGCAGCGCGATCATCTCGTCGCCGCCGTCGCCCTCGATGCCCGTGTAGAGCGGCACGGGGTCGGCGCCCGCGGCGCCGCCGTCGGCGGCCTCGTCGGCGGGCGGCGGCGGCGCCGCGCGCGGCGCCGGCGGCGTCGCGGCCAGCGGCCGGCTCGGCGACCGGGGCTTGTCCCGGTGCCGCTTCTTCGGCGCGAGGTGGTCGTTGGCGCGCGGCGCGTCGGCGGCGACGCGCGGCGACGCCTCGCCGACGGCGGCCGGCGGCGGCCGGGCCGGCGGCGGCGCGGCGAAGGCCGCGGGCCGCGGCGGCGCGGCCTCGGCGGACGGCCGGCCGGCGGAAGCGGCGGAAGCGGCGAGCGCGCGCGCGCCCGAACCTGCGATTTTTTTTCATGACTTTCCGGGCGACGCGGGCGGGGAGGGCGCGCGCGGGGCGGACGCCGGCGGCGCGCCTCGTCGGCTCCCGGGCGTCCGCAAGATGCGGGGCGTCGGCGGGTCGCAGCCGCGGTTCTCGAGCGGCAGGAACCTCCGCTGCTGCTGCGGCGCGCCCACCTGCGGCGACACGATGAGCCGCCCGCCGTTCTCCGCCTCGACGTAGGGCTCCTCGATCTCCTCGTGGGTCTCGGCGTCGTACTGCGGCGAGGACAGGGAGATCTCGCACCGCAGCCCGTAGAGCCGCCGCCGGGCGAGGTACGCGTCGAAGCACGACATCGCGC